TATATATATATATATATATATATATATATATATATATATATATATTCAAGTTTCTGAAAGTTTCCAAACTTCCGAGAACCAAAACATGTCCATTTTCCATAAGTGCACCAGAGCATAAAAGGCCTGGCAGCCACAGTTTGGTTCTATGAGTGGAGGTGAGCCTGATCCCCAAGGAAAACATCGCTATTCTGATAACAAGGGACTTTTAATCCTATCTAAAGACACCCTTTTTATTACCAAATAATGTGCATAACATATACGTCACCTCAACTCCCCCTCGCTGAGCGCCCCCCGCCCCTGCAAAATCTTCATTAGAGCCTAGGGGATGGGTGAGCCTCAGGATGGTGTGGAGTTAGACACATGACTATAGTTTTTTTTTTTTTTAAGTCCAGATGGTGCCTGAATAGTCTGCTTTGTTCATGATAAAGCTGTTTTGAACCCTCTTAAAGGTATGAAGTAAGCTCCTAAAAACAACATAGCTATAAATTCAAAAATACAATACTAGAAAATAAACTTCAGCATTTTAGTAAATCACAGTAAGGCATAATCAGAGTAGGCTTGATCCCAGGAGGATGGTTTAGTACAACACACTAGGGGTGAAATGATATTAGCCCTTTTTTTTAAGTGCATACCTTGCTCTCCAGAAGTAACCACTGTGCTGAATTTGGTGTTTATCATTCCCTTACATTTCTTACACTTTGACTATGTATGTATGTATCCTGAAACCGTAATCGTCAAGTATCATTTTTTTGTTTCACTAGATGCATTTCACAATGAAGGATAAATTTAGAGTTATCATTCAGCATCTTGCCTCTTTACTTTCTACATTATGCAGGTCATCCTGGTTAGCACCTGTTTGAATCCCGGCTCAAGCCACTTGCTAGCTGTGTGTGTTGACTGTGTGACTGAACGCTCTGTGCCCCATTTCCCTCATCGATAAAACAGGTCGCTAACAGCTTCCACCCGTGGGCTATGCTTGGCAGTAACTGAGCTCGTCTTTGTGAAACTCTTAAAGCCATGCCTGACGATCATTAGTGCTGTGGATGGAAGTGTTGACTTCATTCTAAAGCTGAGGAAACTGAGGCTCAGAGAGGTTATCCTGCTTGTCTCAGTCACATGACCAGTGATGAGCAGAGCCCGAGGGTCAAACAGGCTATGTGTCCCATCACGGTCACCATCCTACCTCCCAGAATTCACAGTGGGAGAGAGCTCAGTAAATACCTGCTGTATTGAATGGAATTATATAGCTTTTTACAGACTTCCACTAATTCTCCGGTGACGCTAATCCTATGTGAACCAGGTATTTTTTAACCAATATTTTAAATTTTAGGAGAACAAATGGATTTTCGTAGGAAATACAAATTAAATCACAGGTGAAAGACACCAACTCTGAGGAGAGATGCAATGATCATATATGGAGTCCAAGCAGGAAACAGCAGGAGTTCTTGGCTGGGATCTGGGGAAGAGGTGTGCGTGGGCCTGGCGCTTCAGCTGCGGCTGAGATGCTGACGGAGCCAAGACCTCTCCTGGTGTTCGTGGAACCCCTGGGAGCCAGAGCAGCTCTGAACCCACAGGGAATAGGTTCAGAAATGTCCACCCTCTCTCTCTATCTGCCCTCCAAGATCCCACTGCTGCCTCCGCTGATGAATCCAGCTAAAGGCAGATGGCAGGAGGGAGACCAATGCTGCTAGGAGGGCTCGGTCTGTGGGCCCAGAGCAGGGCAGGGGAGGGACACTGCACAAATACGTCCTTCCAGACAGGAAAAATAGTCCTCATCTCGATCCAACTCTATGAAGATGCCACAATGATTTTTTTTTTACCAGGTTATTGAGGATATTATTGCAAGCCAAGAAGAGGAGGAAAAAGACAAAAAGAAGAAAAAGGAAGAGAAACCCAAAAAAGGCAAAAAAGGAAAGGAGAAGAAAGAAAGAAAGGAAAAAAATAAGGTAAAAGGTATTTGGAATTTGAGAAATTTTTTGCTTTTTTGCTTTGAATCCGTGGAATAATCTCAAATTTGTTGAGACTGTCGTCACTCGTTTCCTTGGGAACCATGCTATCTACCAGCTGTTTTTCTTTTTTTTCTTCTTTTTTTTTTTATGAAAGCTGACACTTTTTTTTTCTTATTTGTTATTTATTTTATACATATTCGTGTATATATGTCAATCCCAGTCTCCCAATTCATCCCACCACCACCACCCACCACCACTTTCCCCCCTTGGTGTCCATACGTGTGCCCTCTGCATCTGTGTCTCTATTTCTGCCCTGCAAACCAGTTCATCTGTGCCGTTTTTCTAGATTCCACATTTGTGCATTGATATACGATACTTGTTTTTCTCTTTCTGACTTACTTCACTCTGTATGACAACTTCTGGGTCCATCCACATCTCTACAAATGACCCAATTTTGTTCCTTTTTATGGCTGAGTAATATTCCATTGTATATATGTGCCACATCTTCATTTTTTTTTTCATGTTGGTCAACAGTTGCCATCTTTTCTATGACTCATAAATACCTATTAGGATAAGGAGTGGTTTCAACAACTCAGATACTTTACATTATTCACAAATGTGATAGCTTTGAATTTTCATTCTTCAAGATAAATGATTCCACTCATCTTTTCGCAAGGGTAGAGATAAAGAACAGTTCTTGGCAAACTAAGTGACCACTACAAAGTCAAAATAATTGTGTCTGCTTTCACCAAAGTGTGTTCATTTCAATTTATCACTTCACGTCGACATCTTGGACCTGTTTTAACAGGACTTGTTTCTTACTACCCAAAGGAAAGCAGAGTTCAGAGTCACTGCGGGCCGGGCATGCCCTGTGCAATGGGGTTGCTGGGTGGTGGGCGGGCAGGGGGGGGTGCTTCTGTCCTGGGTGCGATCGGAGGGGTTTTCACCCTCAAACACGTGGAGAGACCACTGCCAGGGTGGTGGTTCTCTCTGCATAAACTCCTTCTTTGGGAAATAGAATTCAGGCTGAAAGCTAGCGTCGTCTGAAAACGTGAATGTGTTCACTGTAGCGGCTGTGGGCCCAGACAGACACTGCTGCACAGCTGACCAAAACCCTGATCTGAATCAGGGCAGATCCCGAAAGGTTGTGTCCCTCTGTGACTGTCCAGAAGCAGAGGCCCAGCTCTAGCTCGAGTAGCCGTGGCCATGATCCTCATGTTCTGAGGATGCCCACTGACGCGCAGACTCTCAAATTTCTCTGTGGGAGAAGCAACTCACTGGGGTCTGGTAGATGCATGTGGGACTTTTGGTGCATCACAGTGAGAGAGAAATTGGACGGGCTATGTAGTCAAGGAGTGATTGGACCAAGGAGGCAGAAGTTGTGAGCAAGGGAGAGGAGGTGATGGTGAATATAAAATGTCAATACCCAAAGTCCACGAAAATGCGAGTGATAAAAGCCAGCCTCTTGTTTCAAATCCTTTGGCTTGATTGAGGCCGACACTGCAGGCGAGGGTCCCTTTCCAGTGGTCACGCCTGCAAGGTGATATGCGGAAATCAAGCACCTGCCCCTGCGGTCCTGCCCTCTCTAATTGTGTTCCATTGTTTTGCTGTGCGGACAAAAGAAGAGAGAACCCTCCCCACTCATTTTGAGAACAGCCCACTCCACTGTAGTGGATGCTGAATGGTGCCCCTCTGATGCCCCCTTCAGGACCAAGGGGCTCAATCCCCAGCTACCCAGGATGTGGTGCTGACCCCTCACACTTAGTCCCTCCCCAGGAACTGTTCAGGGTCTGGGGGGGTGCTTCAAGTGAAGTGAGCCGCCGCCACGGGGCACGGGCCTTCAAGGAGTCACACTAGGGGCTTCCCTGGCGGTCCAGTGGTTAAGAGTCTGCGCTTCCACTGCAGGGGGCACGGGTTCAACCCCTGGTTGGGGAACTGAGATCCCGCAGGCCTGCACAGTGCAGCCAAAAATAAATGAATAAATAAATAAACAAATAAATAAATAAATGAAATGAAATGAAGAAATTGCATCATCTTAGGAAAATAAAAAAGATAGTCACATCAGGGTACAAAGACCCAGCCCCTCACCTCCCAGGACAACTCTGAAGTGTTCTCCTAGCTCCTGGGCTCCCTGTGGGATCAGCTACCACTCTCTTGCAATTGCATCCCAGTTCAGCTCCCCCTCTACCCAGTTCAGCTCCCCCTCTGCCCAATTCAGCTCCCCCTCTACCCAGTTCAGCTCCCCCTCTGTCCAGTTCAGCTCCCCCTCTACCCAGTTCAGCTCCCCCTCTGTCCAGCTCAGCTCCCCTTCTACCCAATTCAGCTCCCCCTCTGCCCAATTCAGCTCCCCCCTCTGTCCAGTGCCATTTCTCTCCCTCCCTCCCTTACGGGTGATATTCCCAACAAACCACCTGCATGTTCTCCGTCTCAGTGTCTCCAGGGAACCCCACCCAAGGGACCAGCTGTTTGCTCTGTCTCATGGACTTACAAAGCTTTCAGCCTTGTTACCTTTGTGATATTTTTAAAAGGGTCTATTTTCCCTTTATGGAGATTAGTTGAAATATTCAGATGTTTTTATATGAGGTCTTTCCCAAGTTTTCTGACTATATATATGGGGCTGGCAACTGAGAGATGACCAAGTGTTATAAAAATACTCAAAGAATAACCATACAGCTCTGCTATTGTGGTTAGGGGTTAGAGTTAGGGGTGAGTCAGTATCTGCAAGTTAAACAAAACTCATTTCCTCTGTTTCCTGCCTTACCCTCTAACCAGGATGAATAATAGACGTCTTTTTCTACAGGTCAAAATACTAATTTCCACACAAGGATCTGAATAGCTGGTCTCAGGAATGCTTCCTGATTCTTTAGGAATGATTTTAGAATAAGACTTTAAAAGTCAATGGAAAAGGTAATCTGATCTATAAGAAACATACCAACATCGTTTAATTGTATCAAGTTTTCGTAGAGGTTAACACTTCACATTTTAATAATCACATTGTCGCTGTGTAGACCTGTACTTTTCATATAAATTCATTTCTAAGTAATTCTGAAAGATTTTCCCCACTATTTGCAAACTAATTCAGAAATGCAGATGTGCTCAGACTTTGCTTTTTTGTCCAAAGCCATTCATCATTAAGTGACTATTTAATAGCTAGTTAATAAAACACTATCACTCAACAAAGACCTCATGTTCTGAGGATGCCCTCAGAACAGATTGTGTAGCAGATAGTTTCAGATTTTTATGGAACAAGCTTCACTAACAGTGAATTTTAATTTGCAAGTGTCAGACTCACTCGTGCATATTTAGAGGACGAGATGCTTAGAGTAAAATTGAAATTCTTCCAGTTGTCCCTTTTCTTAGGCATTGCTTCAAAATTATCTTGCCGGGTGGAGGAGGGTTTTAAAAATTATCTGTATCAAGTGAGCTGTCTTTTGGGTTTGTTTGGTTTTTTTTTTTTCTGGAACAAATTAGAATTTTACAGGTGCAGGCAGATCAGTAGGGCAATAGGTGGTCTATGGGTTCCCTGGAAACACTGAGATGGAGAACGTGCAGGTGGATTTTGGGGAACATCACCTGCAAGGGAGGGAGGGAGAGAAGTGGCACTGGACAGAGGGGGGAGCTGAACTGGGTAGAGGGGGAGCTGAACTGGGATGCATTTGCAAAGGATCGTAAATGTCCAGGGAGTAGCTGTTGGGAGGGGGCTGGAGGGTGAGTGGATCAGAAGGCTGGGCGGGGGCAGTATTCCAGGCAATCTCCAAGCCACAGAACCAGAGGACAACTTCAGAGCATGGATGACAGGAGGCCAGGATAGCTATGCAGTGTGTGGAACCTGGAAAGGCTGCAGCAGGCAATGAGTGATCCCTTGGGGGGCCTGGCAGAGACTTCTGCAGAGAGAAGATGGACAGAGAGAAGACCCTGTAAAGAGGCTGAAAAGGCAAAGCTATAGACTAGGAGACAGTATTTTCAAATTCGGGCTTCCCTGGTGGCGCAGTGGTTGAGAGTCCGCCTGCCGATGCAGGGGACGCGGGTTCGTGCCCCGGTCCGGGAAGATCCCACGTGCCGCGGAGCGGCTGGGCCCGTGAGCCGTGGCCGCTGAGCCTGCGCGTCCGGAGCCTGTGCTCCGCCACGGGAGAGGCCACAGCAGTGAGAGGCCCGTGTACCGCAAAAAAAAAAAAAAAATTATATATCTGACAAATAATTTGTATCTAGAATATATAAAGAATTCTCAAAATTCAACAGTAAGAAAAAAAGATGTCTTTCTTTTAAATCTTTTGTTTTAAATCCATCTCTAAAAGTATTGAGGATTGCAGATAAGCAGATCCCCTTAAACGAGGGCTTTGATAGAGGAGATGCTGGTGCCAGAAGGACGTTTTCTGCAGACCAATAGCAATCTCTGCAAATATGCTTTCAATACCAACATAATTTTATTTGCCTCACTCTGGACCTCATGTTGGCTTTAGGAACAAAAATACAGAAAAAGAGCACTCTGTAATCCATCCCTACAATTCTTTTCTCTTTCTTGTTTTTCAATGTTCCGTATGTTCAACCATTTGGAGCTACTTGCAGTGGTTTTGTCCTGCCCATGACACATGCTCACGCGAATACTAAGGAGTCTTCTGTAAGTTTCCTCCAGCCATAAAATGACCTGACTTGGTGCTCACTTCTTCTGGAAAGATCCTTGGACCTATCCATATGCAGCACGATTAGCTTGAAAAGCTATAGTTTGTCTGCAGTGCCACCCAGCCGCTCTGACCACAGTGCCCCTTGGCCCAAGGAGGTGCTCCGCATTGAACCGTGGAGCCAACCACGTTCTTATATAATTTTAGAGTATTTCAAATCAAATTTTGCCTTACTTCACACAGATGGGAAAGTGAGTGTCATGGGTTTCCAGAGGCTGCTATCAGGAACAAGGATTTCATTATGGAAATATACATACCGAGCATCTTCTGTGTCCACTGAAGTGCAGTAAGAGAGGGGATATGAGGAAGTGAGAGGCT